AATCACCACTCTCTCCCCTCTGGGAATACTCTCCATCACCTCATCTAACTCACTCCAGAACTTTTCCTTCTCTTCTAACTCACACCCTACTTGTGGAGCATAACCACTGACTACATTCAACATTACCCCTTCAATTTCCAACTTCAAACTGATCACCCTGTCTGACACTCTTTTCACCTCTAAAACATTCCTCACCAGCTCCTCCTTCAGGATCACTCCTACCCCATTTCTCTTCCTGTCCACACCATAATAAAACAGTTTGTATCCCCCTCCAATGCTATGTGCTTTGCTACCCTTCCACCTGGTCTCCTGCACACAGTATATCTACCTTCCTTCTCTCCATCATATCCACCAGCTCTCTACCTTTCCCTGTCATTGTGCCAATGTTGAGTCCCTATTCTCAGACCTATACTCCTGCCTTTCCTCTTCTCTCTCTCTCTCTACGAATCCTTCTACCTCCTCTCCTTCTTCGACCAACAGTAGTCTGATTTCCGCCAGCACCCTGTAGGTCAACAGCACTGGTGGCGGTCATTGTTAACCTGGGCCTCGACCAATCCAGTATAGAATTCGCACTGATGATTTGCAAGTTTAAATTTGCAGACTAGATCATGGACCCTACTGAGCTGGAGCTGTGTGCCATGGTTGTGGAGTTTCCAAAACCAGACAAGAATCCTTCTGGTTTTGTGAATCGGCTGACATAGTATGCCGTTATGATCCTACTAAGAGATGTACTGTACAGTTGATGACATGTTTAAGGGGTAGATTTGGTGAGACTGAGCCAGTTGTGACTAATGCAGTTCAAGATGAGGATGCACAGAGTAAACTTGACTGGATAGAGGCATATAAAACTCAGTTAATGCATTGTGCCCTTAGACTGGGAATAGTGGAGGGACAAGAAGCAGCACACCTCTTACTTCCACGGATCTGTATTTAAGCTTTACATTTTTAGACTAACAAACCTACATCTCTTGTTCTCAGTGAACACATCTAGTTTCAGGACCATGCTTGTGACTAGATCTTTCCCCTCCTCCTCTTTCTAAATTGACTGCACTGTTCCACAGCTCCCTAGTCGAGTATCTGAAAGCACCAGTCAGGGAGAATGAAGCCACTGAGGGACAGTGTGCAGGTAAATGAGCTATAATCATTGATATGCTAGAAAAAAGTACATTGTACTTCGTGGTTGAGAAGTTAGAGAAACGTACTGTGGCGGCCCTGACCAGCCGCTGGTGTTCATGCTCTGTTCTGTGTTGAGTGGGTGCAGCCTTAATGTCAAAGCAGTGTGTTTGTATTGGTTGCCGCTATTTTCTGGGGAATGCTGTGCTGTTCTGTCCAATGTGTGGTTTGGGGAGGGACAGGTGTGTGAGGGTATAAGAAGGGTAACAGGTGGGCGTGTGCGACCAGTTGGCGCAGAACATAGGGTGTCCTGAGACAGTGTTGCTACTGCTTTTCTTTTGCTATTCATTTTTCCTGTGAGCACACGGTGCCAGGTATATAGCCGTTTCATTCTGCGTTCTCTATTCTGTTCAATAAAATCCAAGAAAAGACACAGAAGGTGTTCTCCTCATTGTCAGCCTAGGTGCCAGCGCACAGTATAGTTAAAACTAATATTAGAGCCATATGTAACAGTACATGTGTTTTCTCCATCTGACTGACATTAACAGGCTCTGGATCAGTTTCCTGTCACAGCTGTGATCTCAGATCGATGACCCTGTGTAACGTGAATATTTGTAATAATGCTCCTGGTAATTACTGTACAGCACAATGAATGTATGAGGAGAAATGTGCCGGTACGTCAGTGTGCAGGTCATTTTCATTATTGTACAAAGGCTGAGAGAAGATGGGAGATTAAATCTGCTGAGACAGATGATTAGAGAACCACACCATGTAGCTAAACATCTACTCAGTTTATTGATTGTTGATTTATAATATTAAAATGTATCAAATGTTCATGTTCTACTTTCATGTGCCAAAAGTGACACATGGAAAAGTAAACAAAACCATTCAGTTTAATAATCCTCTATAGTCACGACCAGCAGACACCCTGCCTTCACAAAGCTTTTCTATAGTGTCTATAGAACCAAACTGTTTGTACAGTTATGTAACTGCTGCCTGAGGCTTTTCTTTTAACTGAGTGAAGTGTTGCATTTATGCACCACACCAGTGTCACTTGAAGGGGTCTGTGATGGATGGCTGGATTCTATAAGTTACAATGTGGGAGTCAGCACATTTGCGCTACAGGAACACATTTCCCGTGTGTTTGTGTGTGGAGGAGGAGGAAGAGGAGGTGCCTGGTGTCTCCTCCTCCTTTTTCCACAATACTAAACAACCTTTCACCCAATTTCTTCTCCTCTTTTCCTTTTATTCTTCTCAGTGCTTTACTTGCTCGCGTACAGGACAGTAGGAAGGGGGTGTTCAGCTGCACAAAAACAGCCAGGCTTCTCTTTTTCCTGTTTGACCTACTTTGAAAGTAAGTTTCAGGAATTTCAGGCTTGTGTAGCTAAACTGCTGAATCAGAATGGACAATCCTGAGCTTGCTGCCAAGTTAATGTCCAAGGTGCAGATGGCAAAGGACACCAAGGATGAGGACAAGTTGTACAGATACAAGGGGGTGCTGTACCCACGCCTGATGTGCCCTGAGGAACATCTAAAGGTTCTGGGGACCTTCCAGGCCAGAGAGGACGATGTCATGACGGTGGCTTATCCCAAATGTGGTAAGCAATGGTGAAGTTGTTAATGAGCAGAAGCTGTCCAGCCAGAGATCATTAACTGTTCAAGACTGAGCCCTCTCTTCTCAGAAAGCTGTTGCGTACCTGTCACCTGTGCAATTCCAACATGCAGTTATGTTTTATTGGCGCCCTTGAGCAGCCATAGGGTGGTGGTGTGCTGTAGTGTAAAGGCTAAGGCTATGCAGAGGAGGGTTTCTGTGGCAGGAAGCTTTGGGTAGTCTCTTTAAATCTCCTGTGTGAACTAAGAACTGACATTCAGGTGCAGTTTTTCAACCAGCTATAGCACCTGAGAGTTCAGGTGCTCACTTTGTCTCTGATAGTGTGGGAGTTTGGCTCCTCTGTAGATGGGACTGACGACCTTTAACATGCCTGTGTTCAGGGGCTCCTTGTCTCATAATCCATTCATGCTCTGACCTTTGACCACCCTTAACTTGTAGCAATAATTGTTGCACTGGTCAGAGTGAAGTTTACTTTCTAACTACAAATGTACCTGAAATGTAGAAATGAGTATACTTTGCATGTTCTCCCCATTTTCTCACACGCTCCAAACATGTGCACATTAGGTAAACTCAGAGTGCAAATTAGAGGTCTGATGCCCCAGTTAAGGCTGAGGCCCCTCCCATAGATGGTGATATAACAGTCTGCGGAGGTCAATACATTTACATGTTCTTTTCTTTGTGAGGAGTGTGTCATGATTTCTTTTTAGGGAATTACAAAGACAGATGAGTTCGTTGTCTTTGAAGCAATGTCCCATTACACACCCCCACCCCACAGCCCCACGTATCAACACTTTAGACTGGGGTCTAACTGGGGCCTGCATGGGAAAAGTAGCTAGAGTATGTGTGCCCATGCATGTCCTGTGTCAGTACAGCCAATGGGAGGCCTCTTTTAAACACCTGAATGTCCCCTTTTGAGGTTACAGGTAGTTCAATCACACACCGACACGACAGACTGCCACAGGTGATGGCTCCCTGATGACTCTGTGATGAGTGCATGAGGGAGAGGAGGGCTAGCCCGACCTTTACCTTACCACTCATCACATGTGTTTCACTACATCTAAACCAACGCACACCTAAAGGTGCTAGTGTGGAATAATGAAACTGGTGACCTTCAGAGGCAAGAGAAAACACAGCAGTGCACGGTACTGCATATGTGTGTCAAACACATAATAAACCTAAATCAAATGTGCACAGCTGTCCTCCTTGGATGCTGTGGTCTGAACAAGAACTGAGCTATGTAAAAATGGACTGTGATCCAGATTCACCTGTCATTTCCATGTAGACACTGTGGATATACCCATGAAAGATCCACAATGACTTAAATAATCAGCTATCAGAATTGTTCCTAATTAATGTTGTCACCAGATTGATATCAGAATTGTTCCTAATTAATGTTGTTTGTCACCAGATTGACTCTATGATTTAGTGCCTGGGGGAACCTGCATTGGAACATGAGTGTCAACACTGGCTTGGGTTTTCAGCTGTCCTCATAACAAACTCTTGGCCCCCACCAGGTCCATTATTTCCCTAAAGTGCAACACCTCATCCATCACCATTGTTTACATTCAGTTTGGCATGAAATGAAAATGTGTTTTCATCATTTTATTTCCTAGGAATTTAGGTTCATCTACATGGTTTGGTTGCTGTCTTGTTGTTACTTGTCTTGGTTCTTGGTTGAACTCTACAACATATATGAAACGTGTGTGTGTGTGTGTGTGTGCAGGTTTTAACTGGATGGTGGGGGTGGTGAAGAGGATTACAGATATAATCGAGTCCACAGGGGTGAAACCAGAATCCAAGGGGGCACCGCTGATTGAGTTTATGGGACCAGACATCTTAAAGGTACTGATGGGACATGTGTGGGTCTGTTCTAGGAAAGCAGGCAGGTGGTGTTCAGGTGACAGGCGGAGCCGTGCAGAAATAATCTGTCTGTGTTAGCATGACTCGACAGTTTCTTTTGACTGCTATGGTTGAGTCACTACCACCCACATAGGTAGGTAGGTAGGTAGGTAGGTAGGTAGATAGATAGATAGATAGATAGATACTTTATTGATCCCGAGGGAAATTCAGGTATCCAGTAGCAACAGCAATGATTACCAAAATCACAGCACCCAAAGTAAAGAGATGTATAAAAGTGTAAGGCTAAAAAGTATGAAAAATATGAGAGAGAAACGTATTGAGTAATGTGTGCCAAGTATACAGTATACATAATGGCAATATGTGCAGTGCTACCTAACACAGAGTTGTACATAAAGACAATGCCGACACACTTACTCATTTGATGTATTGTTGCATAACTTGTGTTTTTGCTTTGGGTGTCACCACTGATGGCCACCCTGTTTGTTCCCTGACAGAAAATCTGAGCTCAGTTGCAACATACAGTGGTGTGAAAAAGTGTTTGCCCCCTTACTGATTTCTTATCTTTTTGCATGTTTGTCACACTGTAATGTTTCAGATCGTCAAACAAATTTATATATTAGTCAAAGATAACACAAGTAAACACATCATGCAGTTTTTAAATGAAGGTTTTTATTATTAAGGGAAAACAAAATCCAAAACTATAGAGCCCTGTGTGAACAAGTGTTTGCCCCCTAAACCTAATAACTGGTTGGGCCACCCTTAGCAGCAACAACTGCAATCAAGCGTTTTCGATAACTTGCCATGAGTCTTCCACAGCGCTGTGGAGGAATTTTGGCCCACTCATCTTGGCAGAATTGTTGTAAGTCAGCCACATTGGAAGGTTTTCGGGCATGAACTGCCTTTTTAAGGTCATGCCACAGCATCTCAATTGGATTCAGGTCAGGACTTTGACTAGGCCACTCCAAAGTCTTCATTTTGTTTTTCTTCAGCCATTCAGAAGTGGACTTGCTGGTGTGCTTTGGATCATTGTCCTGCTGCAGAACCCAAGTTCGCTTCAGCTTGAGGTCACAAACGGATGGCCGGACATTCTCCTTCAGGATATTTTGGTACACAGCAGAATTCATGGTTCCACTTATCACAGCATGTCTTCCAGGGCCTGAAGCAGCAAAACAGCCCCAGACCATCACACTACCACCACCATATTTTACTGTTGGTATGATGTTCTTTTTCTGAAATGCGGTGTTACTTTTACGCCACACATAATGGGACACACACCTTCCAAAAAGTTCAACTTTTGTCTCGTCTGTCCACAGAGTATTATCCCAAAAGTCTTGGGGATCATCAAGATGTTTTCTGGCAAAACTGAGACGAGCCTTTATGTTCTTTTTGCTCAGCAGTGGTTTTCGTCTTGGAACTCTGCCATGCAAACCATTTTTGCCCAGTCTCTTTCTTATGGTGGAGTCATGAACACTCACCTTAACTGAGGCAAGTGAGGCCTGCAGTTCTTTGGATGTTGTTGTGGGGTCTTTTGTGACCTCTTGGATGAGTTGTCGCTGCGCTCTTGGGGTAATTTTGGTCGGCCGGCCACTCCTGGGAAGGCTGCAGTCCCCAAGCTTTAGAAATGGCTTTATAACCTTTTCCGGACTGATAGAGCTCCATTATTCTCTTTCTCATTTGTTTTTGAATTTCTTTGGATCTCGGCATGATGTCTAGCTTTTGAGGATCTTTTGGTCTACTTCACTTTGTCAGGCAGGTCCTATTTAAGTGATTTCTTGATTGCGAACAGGTGTGGCAAGAGAAATTGAACTCAGGTGCGATAAACCAGTGTTTTGACAGGGGGGCAAACACTTGTTCACACAGGGATCTATAGTTTTGGATTTTGTTTTCCCTTAATAATAAAAACCTTCATTTAAAAACTGCATGATGTGTTTACTTGTGTTATCTTTGACTAATATATAAATTTGTTTGACGATCTGAAACATTACAGTGTGACAAACATGCAAAAAGATAAGAAATCAGTAAGGGGGCAAACACTTTTTCACACCACTGTAGTTTTTGACCACATCTGTGGTGACAGCTGCAACAAACCAGTAAATGGATGATTAATTGTTGGACACAATGTTCCCAAAGGCAGGTTCTCTCTTGTGTGTCACAAGCCTGAAACTTTATTGCAGAGTGCTGGGAAGCCCCTGATTGCTACAGTCACTTTTTTATCACAGCCCTCAGGAGATAAACACTCAAATAAAGAGCTCAATTAAAACAGGAGCTGCTGGTTTTACTGGTTGTCGACTGGTAAAACCAGACGTCTGCCAGCTGAACATTTCTTGGCTCGCCACTGAGCGACTATTGAGTCTTTGAGCTGTGATGTGGGGTGGCTGCATGTTTTTTGAGGTTCACTGAGTGTGGCATTGGCACAGGAAACTGCTGTTTGCATCCCATCTTCTACCAATATTCAACTTGTCTCCTTTTAACAATGACACCACACTTCCTGAACTTAACCAAGTAGTTTTAGTTGCCTACCACAGATAATAAAACAGCTGTCTCCCCTCAGGACTTGGCTCAGGATCCCTCTCCGAGGGTTCTGGGGACTCACATGCACCCTGACAACATCCCTGCTTCCTTCTATGCAAAGAAAACTAAGGTAAACTTTAAAAACAACTTCTGCACAGTCAATTTCAGCTCAGACAACAAACTGATCTCCTCACATCACTTACATTAAACACAAGCAACAGTAAGGAGGTCAAGAGGTCAGAGCTTTGTCCCTTAAGGTCTCCAGTGGAAAACAAAGCTGGTTCAAGTTTGTGTTGTTGTTGCTCATATTTAAATTGGTTCAATTTGTTTATGATTTGATTGTTTTCCTCTTTTCTAATTTCATGTTTCTCTTTTTTTCTTTGACCACTTAGTGGAATACCAGCTCAATAGCTCAGATATGTTTTATGTATTGTACAGATGCTGGTGATCTTCAGGAATCCTAAAGACACTCTAGTTTCCTATTATCACTTCTACAACAACAACGTGGTCCTCCCGACCGTACAGTCGTGGGAATCCTTCTTCTCCGACTTCATGAGTGGAGAAGGTGAGACATAACATTTAAACATAACATTTTAGTTGACCACTAAGCAGACAATGTCTGGTTATTAGTAATAGGATCATATTAAGGGGGCATTCAACCAAGTCAAATGTTTGTGCTGTTTGTTTTGTGGAAGGTTCAGGCTAATGGTCTTAGAAAACATTAAGGGCGTCTACACGTTATTACACTTGTGTGGATATATTACGATATGTTCCTTCCAGTTTGGCCTGATCAGAGGCTTCTCCATAAATGTCCACCACATGTGAAATGTCCTGGTCTCTCCACTGACCCCGTCACTGTCGTCGCTCTCCATGTTTATTGTTACCGGTCTGTGAGGGGCTGATGACGACAGGCCATATGTGCAGAGGAGGGGACATTAAAATGACCACAGGGATTCTGAGTTTAATCTCAGGTGATGTGGGGTCAGCCCTGCCCCTCTTTTCCTATAATGATCCCGTCACAGAAATACCTTTTATTTTGCACATATTGCATAGTTTGACTTTATGATCCTGAGCTTTACTGTGTTTATGGGATAATAAATAGTGTTGTACAGCCGACTCAGCAGGGCCAGTGTGTAAATGCTGGATGTGTTTGAATCCAAGTGGGGCTAAAGATCCACTGTCACTCTAATCAATGACTTTACTGCATCAAAATGCTCATAAAATGTAGGTGAGCTGCTTGTACCTTCTCAGAGCATCATCCCAAAGTATCAAAATATACTTCATAGTATCAAAAGTAAAAGTAGCTGTTATGCAGAATGGCCCATTTCAAAAAGTTATACAATTGGATTAGAAATATCCCGAACACATTATTGTGTTCATCACATTCAAATCAAATCAAATCAAATTTTATTTGTATAGCACCAAATCACAACAAAAGTCATCTCAGGACACTTTACAAACTAAGGTCTAGACCTTACTGTTATCACTATTATTACATAGGGAAAACCCAACAAATCCCCCTTGAGCAAGCACTTGGTGACAGTGGGGAGGAAAAACTCCCTTTAACGGAAGAAACCTCCGACAGACCCCGGCTCTTGGTGGGCGGCCTTCTGCCT